AATTCTACGTTGAAGCAAGACCAATTTCTTAGAACTTAATGCTTCAAACAATTGAATGCTGGGATTCCTAGGGAAAGAAATATCCTCAAAAAGTATATTCCACAAAAAATATTGAATTATAATCTTATAATGACTTATTAAATAATTAATAATTGTTATAATTATTAAATATAATGCTTACTTATTTTTTTACAAAATGTACAATAATACCCTTTATTTACAAAAATACCATACTTGAACAACTATATTATATGCTAATAAAATAACAACATTGTATTGTTTCTTATTAACTATGTTTGATGTGTTCATCCTACTTGTGCCACACCCTTTTCAGCTTTCTGTTATAGGATAATTGTTTTAATCCTATTTCAGACAAAGTGTACTGGTGTTTCAAGGACGGAAGGCAAGAATTTTTAAATTCAGTCAATAAATTTATGATCAACTGAAAATTCATAAGAAAAAACTATTTCAGGTTAAAATTCAATTTCAGAATATCTTGAATGTATATAAAAAAGTGAAATGCAAATTTGACACTGATATTATCACTGTTTCAGCCCTTAAATAACTCCTAAATGTTTTGTTTATTGCTCTTAAAAACAGATCAGGTGTTTAAAAGTTAATACCATAATTTTTGTATTAAAAAAATGTCGAAATTATTGCTAAAGAAAAAGCAGAAACAAAGGCATTATTATTAATTTATACCTAGGGCAAATTTAATTTCTTTGAGATCGAGAAAATATTTAAAGCAAATGTTTATGCTATATCCTGAAATCACCTAATTTTTCGTTTTCATAAATCAGACGAAAAAGTCACATTTGAAACCCATCCCTTTTTCAAAGGTATAATCATGAATAATTCCCAGATATAATCATGAAAATCTTGTTCCGCTCTTGAAATTAAGATATTCAGTTACCAAATCTTAGCTCGCTGAATAATTAACTTTACTTTACTTAAAAGAACATATTTGGTATACATTAAGTATATATTGTTCATTCAAAAAACGAAATCTTTTCAGAAAATAACATCCGTTTTAAAAACTAAGTAAATTTCAGCATTAAATATGCTTTAAAAGTTTGAAATTTTGAAATCTCCTTAATATTTAACTATAGTTTCTCTAAAAGCAAGTTTAAAAGTCACATCAAGTTAAGTTGATTAAATTTGCCAGAAATAATAAAACAGATATTTTTCATAGTAATTATTCAAATATTATGCTAAATATCTTAAATTATAGGTAATATTTAAGTAAAAAGAAATTTAAAATAATTATTATCTGAATGTAAGTGCATTTCTAATTTATGAGAAAAACATGGAAAATCAGAAATAATATCAAATGCAATCGAACTATAAACATTGCTTTTCAAATATTTCAGCTATCTCACAGAAGGAATGAATATTGCACCAGATATTTTTAATATGGACTTTATTAATAGCAGTTTAACCAATCTGCATTGAAATTCTGATGATAATCAATGACCCAGAGATTTAGGTAACTTAGATTAAACATGAAAATAATAATAAAAGGAAGAGCGGGTAAATTTTAAAATCAAAGTTATTTCAAAATAAGAATCTTTTAGGAAAGAAAACTTTTAAGATAGTATTCGCACCCTGTACCCTGCGGCATTCCGACGGTCATCACGGAGAAGCTATTATAGTAATTTGCAACCACGGAGTATTAATAGTATCATTATACTCCGTGTTTGCAACTTTCTTGACAACTCACATCTACAGGTACTAATATTTATGATAGTAATCCATCTTACTTACAGTCGGAACCCTTGATCTAGTATTCCAGGGAAGGGGAAAGAAATAACAATAGCAGGTAGCTGGCATTTTTCAGAGGTTTAGGGTTATTTTCCCGACATTTTAAGGGAAGCTCGGTCCAAAATTAGTGACAGTTTTAAAGGTATTTGTAGAAAATAACTCGACAGGCTAAGGGTTAAAGAAAGCTCAAGCAGATAATGCTGATCCTTATTTAGCATTGTTAGCTCATAGGAACACTCCAACTAATGAGATGCTAGGATCACCAGCTGAACGACTTATGAGTAGAAGAACAAGAACGATTCTTCCTACATCCGAAGAATTACTTAAACCTCAAATTGTGAAAAATGTAAAAGAAAAAATCAACCAAGAAAGAATAAACAGAAGTCATATTATGATCGTCATACAAAAACATTACCATCGTTAAATAAAGGAGATTGTGTTCGGGTATATCAAGATTATCGCTGGAAACCAGCAGTTGTAGAAGAAGTGCATAAGACGCCTACATCATATATACTCAGATCAGGTGGATCAGTATTGAGAAGAAATAGAAAAGATATTAGAGAAAACAGTTCAGCTGTTCAAGAGAATATCAGAAGAACAGAACAAGGAGTTAATACACAGAAAACAGATATAAAAGGATATGATTCCAGATATTCTCAAGGGCAAAGTTTAGAAGATCAACTACCAAACTCTGCTAACTCAGAAACGAACGGTGAGCTAAGAACTAGAACTGGGAAGGTGATTAGAAAGCCGGCCAGGTTTTTGGATTGATTTTAGACTGTTAAAACTTTTTGAACTCTTTAAAAAACGGAAGATGTAATATTTAATAATTATAAATGGTAAATTTAATATTAGTAACTTGTAATTGGCAACACTTTGGATACAGATTTGAAAAAAGAACTATGCTGGTATTGCAGTTCTCTGTGATTATACATCTAAGATTGTAATAATAGTTTCTAAAAGCTAAAATTGTACCCTCATAATTTTATAGTTGATATTCTCAAAATTGCATCTGATAATTAGAGCTAGTATGTATATAATAGATATAAATACAATATACGAATATAATAGATCAATATATTTTTAGTATATAATGATTCAATATCATTTTTATGGAAAAAAAAAAAAAAGACACTTTTGACTGCACAGATCTTCTGGAAATCCGAAGTTAAACACATATGAAATCATTTGTTTACAATCAGTGAACGTTAAAATCAGCTACCTGTCGCAGTACAATAAAACAGTGACACAATTTCTACAACAGCCAACAGTTCCTCCTTTACATGAACAAGAAATTAAAAAAAAAAAAAAATTACTTTTTCTTTTTAACAATGAAGTGTCCTTCGATTTCATGCGAGCAGGACGCTATACAACTTATCCTTAAATAAGAAGCCAAAATTTGTAAATTGTATTTTTCAAGTAAAATTCCGTGCTTTACCAAATAATCCGCTTTTTAAAATTTTCTCTGCTTCATAACACAGCGAGAATTTATGCCTCCTTGAACAAAATGAAACATTTCAGAAAAGCTAAGCAACTCCATTTTTGAATGTACGAAGTCAGATCACAAATCAAAATAATGGTTTATGTCCGCCACATTACTTGACACTCGAGAATAATCAAGGAGGTTAGAATAGAAGGAGGGAAGGTTCAACTCAAACGGTGAAGCTTGGCTGCCATCTTCCTGTTATCACCGTGACTTGTGCAAGGAAGTCTGTCATTGCAACATTTTTTTCTTTTCTTTTTGAAGCATGTCAGCTTGTATTGCATATGGATGCATAAATAGATTCTCGAAAAAAATTCCGGGCATTATTTTTCACACGTAAGTATTAATTTTCTTTGTTTTTTATGTAATATGACAACTATGTCAAAAAATATCACAATGTCATGTGGTTTTCTTTCCAGATGTGAAAAAAAGGACTTAAAATAGGTTATTTAATTTAACTATAATCAAAATATATTAAATACATTTTAATGTTTCTGTTTATAGCTGGTATCTTCGTTCCTTAAGATACAACAATGCTATATGGTAGGATTTAAATTGTATAATTTGAACGTTTTAGTTAATTCGTTTTATAACTTTCATGAAAAGTAAGAAATCAATTGTTACTATTTTTATTAATTGTAAAGGTGTTAAATAAAGCAATGCTTTTCTTTATATATTAATTATTATTCATTTTTTAAGTTAAGATAAACTGTTTCTGTTGTTAAAAATTTTTTGTATAAACTTACAAATTTCTGAGCAGTATAGTGATAAAATTAAGTAAAATATTTATACATTGAACATGTGGAAAGATGTATCCAAAAACTTATATAGGTGTATTTCTATAGTTCAACTTAATTAAAGGCAGTTTCTTTCTTTGAGATTAATAAATATGAAATGCGCATAAACTGAAATCAATGAATTCTGTTTTATTTATTAAGATTTATTTTCTAACCTAAGCGAGTCCGTGAAATATGCAGAAACATCATTTTTTAAAGGCTTTAATGTTATGCGCATGCATTTAGATTTCGAACTATTTCTTAACAATTTGCTGTACATAGTAAACTATGGATATCATCTTTATTACTTTAAAACAAAAATTCACCAATAGCGGGGGATTTCATTATAAATTTAACATAATTTTACTGGAAAATAAATGTACGGAACAGCTTAGAAACACGTACATGTCACTGCCGTAATGCAATGTTTTGAAGTCACAAACATGGACGCCGCTTGTTCGGCGGAGTTTCATTCCCCGATAGTGGAGGAAACTGCGAAACCCTCCCTCCTGTTCTAACCTCCTTGAGAATAATATACGATCTGTGTGTGTAATGTGTGAAAGCGCTACCTATAGGTGAATTGAATCGCGGATAGCAAAGGGTATTAAAAAATATTACATAATTGAATAAAATGTGATTCCAGGCATAATTATTGATAATTTAAATGAAAAATACGTGAGATATTCTTCGGAGAAGAGCCTTGCCGCCAAACCTAGGAAGAAACAACTTAGAACTTTAAAGATGTATTTAATTTCGAAATTTAAGTAGTCAAGAAGGATTAAATTGTTTCAATAAAAAACTGAAAGTTTTCAAGTCATAAAACATTTTTTTATTAAATAGTTAAAGGAACATTATTCCCATTTTAGTTTTTTATTTCTATCTTCCTTATAATAAATCATATGATTACTAGCTGTACTTTTTTTTTTTTTTTTTTGTATTGTTTATGTTCATGGGGCCTTTGAATTTGAAATGATGTGAAGAGAGGGGTGTGTTGTCTATATCTTGTGAAAGTAGTTTAGTGTAATATTTTACTGTAGTTGGTTTGCTACTTTGTGGAAGCGTGTATTTCTTTCGAGTTTTCTGTTCATGTCTGGTTGTATATAAATTCTTTAGAAAATGAAGGAGTCAGAAACAGAGACTGTTTCCCAGGATACCAGCATAATGGAAACTGCTTCGGAGTCTGGAAATGAAGATTGTTGTTGTTGCCGTTTAGCCATCTGCAATCCAAGAAAATCGGTACACAAATACTTTGTTTTAATTTTTATGTGTTTCATCGGCTTTGGAAGTTATTTCTGCTATGACAATCCAGGAGCTCTACAAAATGAAATAATGAAAGACATGAGAATATCTACATCAGAATTTACATACCTTTATGCTTGGTATTCTTGGCCAAATGTTATACTTTGCTTTTTTGGAGGCTTTTTGATTGACAGAATTTTCGGCATTAGGTTAGGGGCAATCATTTTTAGTTTGATAATTTTAGTTGGTCAGTTAGTATTTGCTTTAGGGGCTATGATTGATAAATTTTGGTTAATGGAACTGGGAAGGTTTATATTTGGCATTGGTGGAGAATCTCTCGCTGTGGCCCAGAATACATATGCTGTAAGTTGGTTCAAAGGCAAAGAACTAAATATGGTATTTGGTATACAACTGAGTTTTGCTCGAGTTGGTAGTGCTGTCAATTTCAATGTTACACCAACAGTTTATTCGAAAATGAGCCAATATTTTTATGGATATGAAGTTTTAGGTATCACACTTTTCATAGTTTCTTTAACTTGTGTTTTATCCCTTGTAGCATCTCTAATTATGGGATTTTATGACTGGAGAGCTGAAAAGATATTGAATAAAGCTGCAGGACAGACAGGTGAAGTTGTGCAGTTTAGAGATATAAAAGATTTTCCTGCTTCATTCTGGTTAATCACATTAATTTGCGTTGCATACTATGCTGCTATTTTCCCATTCATTGCCCTTGGTAGTGTATTTTTCTCACGAAAGTATGATATGGATCAAAGTGAGGCAAACCTTCTTGACAGTATTGTTTATTATATATCTGCAGTTGCCTCTCCTTTGTTAGGTTTACTGGTGGACAAAACAGGACGTAATCTTACATGGGTGTTTGTTGCTGTATTCCTGACACTGTTTTGCCATGTTGCTTTAGGATTCACATTCATCACTCCTTGGATTCCAATGGTTCTTATGGGAGTCACATATTCTCTTTTGGCCTGTGGCTTATGGCCTATGGTTGCACTTGAAGTTCCTGAGCATCAGTTAGGAACAGCGTATGGTATCATGCAGTCTGTTCAGAATCTTGGATTAGCAGTTGTTGCTATAGCAGCTGGTGCTATTGTAGATTACAAAGGTTACATATTCCTTGAAATCTTTTTTATATATTTCTTAATTGCAGCTGTTATAGCAACAATATTGCTCTTCTTACTGGATTATAGTAGAGGAGGTGCTTTGAATTTGTCTATAAATGACAGGAGAGAAAAAGAAGAAGAATTGAGAAAAGCCGAACTGCTTGAAAATGAAAGAATACTGGCATCAGGATCAATGGCTGATGTTACTCCTCACGACTTATTACAACCGCGTTCAGATTTTTATATCCGCAACAGATATTTGTGTAGAATTGGTGCAAAATTGCCGTCTCACTACGATATTACAACTTGTGCTCTTATACACAGAACTGGACTTAAATAATAAATTCATAATTTTAGTATTAATGTAAAGTTACTTAAAGTGATATCATGTATTGTGTTAAAATGAAAATTTGGTGCTATTGAACTGAACATGTTGTTTACAGATGAAGCGACATTCATTATAGAATTCCATCCATCTTATCAACGATGCTAATCTTGCTTTTGATACATAAATTATCTGATCCATCTTATTTAACTACTTTTAATACATAACTTATTATGAAAGATCTGTTATATTTTGTGCTTATGAGAAATTTTTGTGTGAATGTTGTATAGAAATGTGTGTCTCTTATATATATATATAAGATTTTCTCAAAGTTGTACATATTGCTATTTATAAATGATTTTGATTTAATGTTTTAAGTTCTTGTAATATCAAAAGTTTTCTCATTTAAAATATTCAGATTTCATAAAAAATTATATGAATATTTTAACATGTTTATTTTGAATATAATTTATAGTAGCAATTACATGCTCCAAGTATATTTGTTATAAATGTATTTGAAATATATTTCCTGTGTATATTAAGAAAATATATTTCCTGCGAGAGAGTACAACATAAATTTTGTTTTGATAATATCCCCTGCAATTTATATCATCCTGTAACAGTTAAAGATTAAATTATATATATTTACAATTTGTTGATAGATTATGCTTATTAAGTTTCTTTCTGAGAATTCAATCATTTGTTAACTGGAACTATTAACCGGGTGAGCAGCCCACAGTAGCTTTGGAAAAAAATAATTAGTTAGAAAAAATAGTTTTGAGTTAGCAGACTCTTGAATGTAAAAGAATTTATGGTTGATCTTTACAATATGGTAACTGGTAGTTTGGCGACATTTTGGAGGTGATAAAGGTTACTACCTGGGACTTTGGTAATAATGTGAGCAGTACTCAGTTCCGATTACGCATTATTTTGTGTGAGGGAAATGAGAGATCATGGGATATGTCATGTGATATTAATGGATGAATTACGGTTCTTTAATCGGAAAAGGGGGGAAATCGGGAAATTTTGTATTTGGCTTTATTCTGTGTTGTGTGAAACAGTGTTCGTGAATTTTTGGATCCCATGGCCGTAACTAAAGTGAATTCGAAATGGGTATTTATGTATGTATTAATTTAATGTATGTGCTCATTTATATTTTAAGTAGTGTTTTTGAATTTAATTATATTTTAATTAAATGATAGTTATTTTGTGAATTTTATGTTTGTAGGAATTTGGTATACGTTTAAGTTGAAGTAAACGTGCATGGAAATAATTTAAATATTTGATACTAAGTATTTGTAATGCTTGCGGTATGAATTCGTTGGTGACGTGTGTAAATGTAATAGATGATTTAGAGGTAAAAGTTTTTGGATATTTTATTTTTTATATGTGGAAATGTTCACATATTTGTAAAGGGTAATACTTTTTTTTCGCGATCAGGTAATTTCATATATGTTCTTTTTACCAGGTTTAAAGATTGAGAAAATTGTCATGTATTTTTTTGTGAAATTTTTTCTAATTTATGAGAAAAAAGCAGTGTACATGGATATAGTGAAGAGTGTGCGCAATGCCATTTTTGTGCAATTCTGGGATGTTTTTTTAAAGTAAAAATAAGTCGGCGTGTACATGGTTTATTGTATATGTGTTATTTTGAAAAACGCGTAAGGAGTATGGTATTGTGCACTTTTTCCCAATTTTGCAGTGAATATTTGTCACGATTAAGCAGTTTTTTGTTAGATAAAATTTCTAGCATAAGTGTAATTCGGCTAGTAGATTGTTGGAAGAAGTGTTCAGTAGATAAAAAGAAAAGAAACATGTCTTTACTTTACTTCGTGAAGACAAAATGGCGGGCGGGAAAAAAAATAGAGGGTTGCTGTAGGAGAGTTGGTCGCCAAAAAAACGCCAAGTTACCATAATGTAAAGATCAATCGAATTTATTTATTGATAGCTGCAACTTAGTATTACATGTGTGGGTCAATTTCTCAAGATATCCATGTATGTAACATATTGCTACAGTAAATCTGTTTAATGTTATGATTTGGACATTGTTACGAATTGCCAAAATCATGCTCATTTCTATATGAAAACATGTGAAATATGTCACTTATTCTGATTAACAGTTCAGATAATGTGATTAAAATATTATAGAATAAATTTTTTTTTAAATTGAAGGCAGGGATAAATAGAAGGGCTAGCTCATTTCTTTGTTCGACTCCTCGCCGACGCGAGCCTAATGGGGGAACGTAACAGGCAATGATCTGACGTCACTGTGATGCAACCTGTCCTGATTTCCCACGCTTAAAACAGTAGTTTCATTGAGCTGCGAGACGATTTTCTAGAGGTTACATATCCCAAATTAATTTTAATAATATATATATCTGTTTTCTAATAATGTCTATATTTAAAATAATTTATATATATGTAATTTTAGTCAAGTTTTTATTTTAAATTCTATATTGTAAAGTATCGTTTACGTAATATGGCTTTTTGTGCTGCAGTAACGTGCCGTAGCACTTACAGAAGTATGAAAGGATGAGATATTTTATTTCATGGAGACCAAAGGATCCAAATGAGATTTTGCTTTTGACGAAAAGAATGGATACAGAAATGTCAAAGAGAAGATTCTATTAATGTGAAGAGCGGAAAAATCTGCAGCGAACATTTTCCATGCAGTGTTTATGAAGATGATATGAAAAATCGCTTGTTTGGATAGCCACAAAAAGAAACTGTTGAAATGGAATGCTGTGCTGAAAGTAAATTATGATGACAATAATAAATCAAATTTTAATGATTTTGAAATAAAACTCACAAATGAGAATGTAGATCATCCTGAATGTTTAAGGATAAACAAGAATGCATTGATAATTTGAAGAACAAAATAATATCCTTAGAAAATTGTATTAAAGTATTGAAATATAGAGAAAAGAAAAATTTTAGAATGTTTGTTCAGCGACAAAGAAGGTGGATGACATCTAGACAGAAATTGGTATCAGAAATTAAATCTCAAATAGCGAAATTTGGGAGGGGGGGGGAGCACAAATCGGAGAATTTGGAAAAATGTCTAAAGCCCTTATTTTTATAAAGACGCAGATTAATGCATTACTGAAAAAGAAGAAAAAAAATCAAGGTGGACTAGTGAAGATATTTCACGTTGCATCGTCATAAGAGCTCTGTCATCTTAAAGCTATGATTTTTGGAAAGAAAAAAAATTACGAAAAAATTGGAATATCTTTACCTACTATTATCAAATTAAAGAATTGGTGTTTATTTTATTTTTTAGTGTTTTCTAAATTTTAGTGTAGTCCAAGAATTCAAAGTAATGTTCTTACTCTAAAGAAGGAAAGAGGCGAATATTTGTATTCTGTAGAAAAATATACGTTCTCAGTTTCGACGAAATGCATATAGATTGAAACCTCTGCTATGACTCTAAACTGGACTAAGTTGGTTCTTTTCAAAATGTGCAGTTTGCTTGAATCAGAGGTCTCATTTCGCGCTCTGCCTCAAATTACTGAGAAACCGCGTTTTAGATAGAGGATTTGTTTTAGAAGATTTAAATTTTGATATTATTAAAGAGGTTTTAAATAGAGATTGAGAAGAAATAAAATTGTGTCACAAACTAAAACCGAATTATTTAATGGTCAAGGGAAACAAGAAACAAAAAGTCACTCCAGAGAAAACATTATTTTCAAAAAGTACCGCAAAAGGTATACTCTACCCCACAGAAATTCAGAAAGCATCTGACTTCTATGAGTTAATCGATAATATCTTCGGTATTATGAATAGTACTAACAAGAATAACAAGTATTTAACAAACTAATTTTGTTAAGTACTTGTTAAAGTTATTCTTATTGTATCCTTTGTAACTAATTATTGATTAGATTTTGTGCTAGATAGATTAAATTAGAACATTAGCTTCTAGATAAAATATAATAGTATAAAACCTCAAAGTAATTGGCATAAAAAGACCTGCTTCCTTTACTCACACTTTTGAAAAATTAAATAACTGTTTTAGGTACTCTGAATAAAGCTATTTTGTCAAAATTAAGGTAACAATCTTATATACATTTGTTTAATTGTAATATAGATATAAGTATAAATTACAAAATTATTTAAAAAATATATATTATATGAATCGGAAGAGAATTATAACAATGAAAAATTTACAATTAGGCAAAAAATCAAACTTAGGTTAGCAGAAATGTTGCCATATATGTCATATATGTTTAAACCTATGTCAATGTAAAGTTGTTTTTTGAGTAAATTTAAATAGCTGCTATTATAGTTTTATCTTAGAAGCAGTATAAAAATTCTCTCAGTTAGCATGCAAATAAAGAAATGATTAGAAATAAACGTGCATTAAATTAAAAAACCTGCAAATAAAAATTTAAAAAAACCACGGAACTTTATGTTAAAAGAGTAGCACATTTTATCTATTATTTTAAAATTGAGTAAGCATTATTAAATTTTTTAATGGTTCAGTCTAAAATGCATAAAGCAGTAACATTGTCTCTTCCAAATTATAGCTATCTTTCACACGTAGCTCATTTTAAATCCTGGTTCAAAAACGCTAATTTCCAAGCTGCGAATTATATTGGCGCGCTCAGTGTCATCATGGCTACGTCATCACTTCTCACTTTCTGCTTCAGGGGGAAAAGCTCTATGAGCTAGCCCTTCTCTTCTAAATCCTGATTGAAGGAAAGTTGCCAAATACGGTCAAAACTGAGTATAAAAATCATTAAGTGACCAAGAAATATGGGGGATTAAACCACCAAATAGCTTGGTTTTGATTTTAATCAATTATTTAAAATTAGGGAAAAAGCAACCTTAGTGTGATATGTAGATTTTGAATAACTCTACTAGGTTAATCTTTGGATTATGGTAACTCGGCAACCAACCCTGCTAGTTTTTTTTTTGGATGCCATTTTTTTTTTTTTTTTTTTACTTAACACTTTTTTTTCCAACAATCTGCTAGCCTAATTATGCTTATGCTAGAACTTTTATGGAACAAAAGTGCTTAATCATGACTAAGATTAGGTGCAAAATTGGGAGAAAGTGCAGAATCGCCCACTGCTTGCCGCATTTTTAAGAATTCCACATACACGGTATCCATGTACACGTCGACCTATTTTCACTTAAAAAAAATCCCAGAATTGCACAAAAATGGCATTGCTCACATCTTGACTTTATCCATGTACACTGCTAAAGTCCTAGTTAGTAACCTTTATCGCCTTACCAAAATGTTGCCAAACCAATACATATTCTTTGGCCAAACTACCTGTTACCATATTCCAAAGATTAACCCTCTAGTGATTTTGAGGGTAATCAGACGCACATCCCTCTAATTTAAGAGTCAGAAAAATCTATGCAGAATTTTTTTCCCCAGAAAAGAAAATTACTTAAAAACTTGCTTGCCGAATTAAGATTGCTATTTGATGGTTAGCATACCAGAGGACCAAGTGGCTGTAGTGAGGAGAGAGGTAAGAACTTTATGGGGTGGGATCATGAGTGCAGGTCCACCCATATAGAACTGGTGGGGAGCACTTTATATGACTAATCAGATCTTCAGACTCACAGAGCTGCACCCTGTTTGAGAACTGGGAGTCGTAATCCCATAGGTCTGAGCCAAGCGGTAAGTAAAGGAAACAAAAGTCTGTTGCTCAGTAAGTATGGGACTTAGCTTCAACAACATGAACCATCTGCACGGTGGTTTTTTGCTTAGATCCTGCTTAATAAGAAGGTTTTTCAGAGGGTCTTGGTCGTGTAGTGACTATTAAGTTAGAGTACATATAAATGTATTATTATACTCTTTCTATAAGGGATGCTCATTAAGTATTAAGATACAGCATTGGTCCATTATAGTCTATATATATTATACTCTTTCTATAAGGGATGCTCATTAAGTATTAAGATACAGCATTGGTCCATTATAGGGATACACCATCAGTCAAATAATTTCAAAAATGTTATGAACAGTTCATAAATTAACTCTTGCATTAAATACATTATGAACAAACTTTACATTTTCCTAATTAAAATGTTGTGAAAGTGCCATTACTAATTGTATTCAAGGAGACTTTCAAAAACCATCTTTGTATAAAAAATATTTGAAAACTTGAAATTTTTTTTAATTTAAAAGTTTCAGCTCAAAATTTTAGAAAGATCAAATTAACTGACATCCAGTAGATAAAAGGAATTCTTTTTATTTATTAAAATTTCTACACATGTTGCTTCTTTGAACTCCCTGGAAAATTTTTTAATCCCACCAATATAAATAATAATCTCAGATTACTCAACACACACCAAATTTCTGTAAATTAAAAATTTCTATTTTTAGATTGTTTCTAAAAGTCTTTAGTGCTTTTATGGATTTTAAAAATAAACTTTTCAGACAGATTTTTCTTACATGCTCTGGAGATAATTCACTGTTCTGTGTTTGTGTACATTTAAACCTTTTGCAAAATGCTGTATTAAAAACTACCATACTTGATGCTTCATGGAAATCTATTCTAGATACTCCGTAATTATTTGCATATCCCTAACCTGAAATAACAGGAGAAAGGGGTTGAAAGGGACACACTCTTGAATGCAGATAAATTTTCTTCACATGAAGTTCTGATGTTGCTTGCAAGTGATTCAACACACTGATATTAAGTGAATTATATACCTATTGTTATACTAATGAACAATAAATCAGTACATTGACGGCTTGTACAGCCTTTTGTTCAATTAATAATCCCTACATTTTATTTGGACTTTCCTTTAAGAAATGTTTTCACACTAATCACTTGTGATGATTACTTATGATGATTATACAAACCACTCTTAATTTAAAACTGATCATTATATGTTGATAGGTGGTACCTCAAACCTAAAAAGTCAAGCTATGAACCAGATTCTTGTGTCTATTCACAAGCAGTTCATATGACATTTGATATTCATATTAAGCTTACTCCTGCTTAAAAAAAGTGCTTTCAGTTTATATGACCTAAAATTTCAAAAAGTCATCCTTATTATTTTTTATCACAATAGTATTACATTTAATTAATTTTTAGTATGTTTTTGACAAAAATCATCCTGAAAAGTTTTCATTTATTAACATGATTGAATAAGTGACATATTCATAATAAATCTTTTTTATCTATATTCTGTCATTTAATCATTTTAATTTCTAGATAACATTTATCTGAAAATATACTACAGTTAGTGCAAACTAACATTACATATACAGCACCAAAATAGAATAATTTCTTATTAAAAAATCTTGTGAAACAAAGTAAAAATTAAGACAAATGGTAAAAAAAGATAGGGCTTTAGGTTTTTTTTTCCCCCATTGTATGAAGTACTTGATATATTATCGGTTTCTATTTTAATCTACTAAATATAAAAATAAAATATTATAAGTGTTTAACTCATTTCAATAGATTTTACTATTTACACTGTAGTTTCAGCATTATCGTATTTCAAATTCTCTTCTGTGCTGATCTGAAATTGTTAGGACTATTTGTAATAATTTAAAAAAATTATTACACAATGCTATTTTACTGTATATTTTGGGAATCTGAATAAGTTTCTTTTCAATTTCAAGGCCTGATTATGGCCAAATGTCATAATGGATGAGATTAGTCAAATCCATGAATTAATACAGCAATAAGAATTCTTGCTAATGTTTAGAGATAAACGAGTGTCCTCAAGTGTGGTCAAATGAAATAGTTAAAAAAGAATTGATAAATAACATTAATATATATAAAGAGCAATCATTGATTTCTAAACGATTATCCTTCCTATTTTTAACATTACGTGAAATTTTTAATTCTTCTGATTTAAGGACATGAACATGGATGATTTTTTTTTTTTGTGTGTGTGTGTAGAAGGTACAACAGACCTTTCATTTTGTGAATATAAAGAGCAATCATTGATTTCTAAACGATTATCCTTCCTATTTTTAACATTACGTGAAAATTTTAATTCTTCTGATTTAAGGACATGAACATGGATGATTTTTTTTTTCGTGTGTGTGTAGAAGGTACAACAGACCTTTCATTTTGTGAATTACCTTAAAACACACTAAAATTTTAAATAAAATCACAACTTTGTATCAAAAACATTTAATGATAGAAATAACTGAGTCTGACAAATGATGAGACATACATAACAAAATTCAACGGCATTAAAAATATATTACAAACTAAAAGATGTCCATATCGTTAGGAGCGTCGAGGTCTCTGTAAGTGATCATTTTTCTTGGATCAGAGCGTGGATTTCTTCTGTAAATGGAAACACGTAAGACAAAACAGGTTGCAGCAATTACAAACAAGTCCTACACATTTCGATACTGGGGTGAAAAATTTGACAGTAGGCGAAATTAAAAGGAGTGTTTTCTTAAGATTATAGGTGACAATTTTTAGTTTTATAATATTAGAATAGCACGTCAGTATTAGAGAAACATTTTGAAAGTTAATGTACTTGAGTAGTGGTTACAAGTTCTCAGCATGAAGTGTAAATTACAAGACTGAACAAGAGAAGACCAACTCATAGTTTAAAAATTAGTATATATTTAAAAAGTATACAATACAGGTTTAAAGCAATGCATTTTCAAATGCTTTAAGTAATTTAAATATACACTTCATAATTACAAACATGATTTATGAAAATCGTTAAAAAATTTTAAAGTATTTTCCAATTATTTACAATAAATATGACACTTATTTTGAATGACTGATATTAAATATGTTTATGAATAAATTATTTCACCACATGTATTCAACCCTGTCACCACAAGAAAACCCCCAACTAAATGTTTATAAAAGAAAAAAAATATGTACAAAGTAAAATATTGGTTGGGGCTCCAGTCTAAAAAGACACTATGAGCGAGACCAAACTTCATTTTTTCGGTTATTTAAAAATAGTCCACATCCTGAGGAGAATCCACATCGTGATAACCAATGATTTCCCTTGGATCGGTTCGAAGGCTGCAAGAGATGAAGGAAAAAACTGTTCGCAGACGAATCAGTACGCACAAGAAATAAAAGTATTTTTAATTTTACTGTATTTTGTGATTATATATATTTTAACTGACACATTTACGAAACATAAGAAATTAAAAGACTCATAATATTTTAAGATTTAAACTTATACCTATTTTTAAATAATTAAAAAAAAAATTTTTTTTTTTACAAAAAGTTTTCAAACTTCCCACACACACACATAAAAAAAGAAAGCTACGACTTATAAAGTTTTAGTTTATCAGCTGCATTTTCGGTACAAGAAGATAAGCAAAATTAAAAACTATCAGAACAGTTTATTAATTTTGCTTATCTCTCAATTTTTTAACATTACCTTATACATACATGTATAAAATTTAAAATAAGCAGTAAAAGTTCATTTCACCATCTGAAATAGAAAATGCTAAATTTCCAGATTTCCCATTTTAGATGCATACACTGTTATACATACTATTAAAATATTGGATCATCCAGAAAGTTCTATTGTTTTTCAAATCATAGTTCATTTTCTTATTATGTTACTTCTGGTAAGGAGTGATTTTGATCAAAGCATATGTTTAAATATGATCTTTTCTGCTCATGTTGCGCTATTCTAACATATCTTGTGGCATAATTTTGTTTCAGAATGTAAAATTTACGCTACATATACACAAAACAATGTTTGAGAAGTTTTAAGGAAGGAAGCTTCAGCCTTAAAGATAATGCCTCCTCAGTACAAATATACTCTATAACCAAAGATATATTAAAAGAAGCTATCATTAAAAATTCAAGTTATGCAGTTCAGGAATTATCAGGCAGAATAAATATTCCAAAAAGTACAGCACACAGACATTTTAAGAAGACTGGTTATAGTAAGCTACAATGTTGTATTACACATACATTAACAGAGTAGAATATACGAGCATGTGATACTTTACTTAAAAAAATAAAGCTTTTTTCTTAAATGGCTCAATACCAACAAAAAGGGAAGGGAGTTAATGTAAGCCAAAGAAATTGCATGCTCTGAATTGCTGCCGCCAAATCAGGCAAATTCAAGAAAACTCTCTTCCTAAATGGCTTTGCTTTTAAACAGAGCAAACACTGAGGCAATGCATCCAGAACTGATCAATTGTTGAGATTTTGTTTTCAATCACGACAGTGCTCAGACACTCATTTTGATGAATGTTGGACAATGGCCTACTTCTCTGGAGACTGTCAAACAGCATTTTGCGAACATCTTTATGAATAAATCTAATGCCTTTTCTAAAAAGGAATTTTTCAGCTGCTGAAGAGTTGGCAAAAGGTCATATAGGAAAATGTTGCTTATGTGATTCAACGAAATTTTCTTATGTTTTTGCACTGCTACATTTATCACCAAAAAAACTTCAGAACGTTTGAGATCACTTTTCCTTCACTATTTCTCAATTTGTAAGAATCTGGAAACATTAGTAATCCTGCCAAGTAATAAATACCATAGCTTATCAATTTATAATTACAAATATTACTCCACAGCTATTTGCTTTTATACAAACAAACTTTTCTTGAAAGGATTTCCCAAATAAGTATCAAATTGACATGTCTGTTCAATTTGTATTACCTAGCCCCATAGAAAAGTCTAAATATTCCTCAATATGTTGAAAAGGAACTGCAGACTATACTATTTATAATTCATAACAGAATCTTATGCTTTGAAGCAGAATGCAGTAACTAGTCAAAAAGGCAAAAAGCATATTCACCTATCTCTCTCTATATAAACATATGGTCATACTTCTATAAGCCAAAACTGAAGGAAGCAGAAAAAATTTTGAGTAACTAAAAATTCAATGTTAAATTCAAATAATAATAATAATAATAATAAAAACATATGTATGATCAAACACATTTTAACAAAACAAGACAGAAATCAATAAAATATTTTTACTGTATAGTGTTTCAAGTGAAAACATCAATAAAATAAAAATAATGATGCTATCTTGATTTTTTAATGAAAATGTACATTAAATACTTTTTATTCTATGCTTTAAAGCATAGAATAAAAATGCAAAATCAAACAGGTGGGTTTTGCTTTAATTCAAATATAGAATGCAATTCTAAAGAAAGTTACCGTTTTCTTTATGGTACAAACAAAAGCAAAAATGCAACTGTTTCTGAGCTAGTAAAATAACTTAAGAACTAGGAGAGCAAATTATTTTTAAGGAATTGAAAAAGAAGGTCTGGTTATGAAAAAGAAGGTCATGATCTTAGTTTCAGGTCTTTGCTTATCAAAGGAATGACCCATCAAATATTTTGAGTTAAGAAATATGTTTTCACGAGAAAAAAATGTCAAATTACTTTAAGTACCATAATTTCTGGAAGAAAAGCCGCATCAGCGTAAATGCCGCACTCGAGAGAAATGGCCGGGGGGGGGATAAAATTACACAGAAACGCCGCAAAAGATTAAATTGTGCATGACATCGTTGTGGGCCGTATAGAAGCAAAATCTCAACCTATGTCCTGATATATGACATATCACAGTTAAGAAAAATGCATGAAATGAAACCATAACTCAAAAATAAATTAAAGGTAAGAAAGGCTGAAAATATATTTACGTTCACGAATATACTTATATTTACCCACTAAAGAAGTCCATATTTGTAATACTCAGACTACTATAAAAAATGTTGCAACAACGAAATATTAAATTTGGATGACAAAAGGAAATTTTAAAATTTACTTACAAAAGGAATTACAGAAAACTATACATCATATGAAGCCATTAAAATCTGATTCTTTACAATCTAAATTAAAAAGATTTAGTAAATCCTGATCTAAGTCTTCCAGATTGTCACATTCATCCTCTTGGCTTACAGTCTCTTTATCTAAGGATATAATTTCAGCTTCTTTGAACCCTGCTATTATTGACGATGTTTTTACTGATTTCCATGCACTTCCTACCCACTTTGCAACTTCTTCATAAGATGCTCTACGCATTTTACCGCTTTTGGTATACGTATGCAATCCTTCACTCATCCAACACTCCCACCGCTTTCGGGCTGCAGCATTGAAGGATTTATTATCCCACAAATCTCATGGTTGTAAGATTTTTGTCAAACCACCAGGAATTATTGCTACGGTCGCAGACAATTTTTGACATCTGGTTTTCACTGACTCAAGTAAATGAGCACGCATGGATGGAATCCATTATCGATAACCCTTTTGGTTGGAAAAAAGATCCCTTACGACACTGCCAAACCTTTTGTAGCCACTCATGTATGACCGTTTCGCACATCTAGCCATTCTTGTTTGCACAAAATAATTACGTCATTAGAAAAATCTCCCTTCGGAATAGTTTTTCGTTTAAAAATGATCATCGGCTTTAGCTTGTCACTCTTTGTGGCACAAGCTAACACACATGTAAATGACGTTCATTCATGCCCCGTCATAAGCACAAATATAGTTTATGCACCAGTTTCATCAACAGTTCTGTTTGCAGGACAGTCGAAAGCTAACAGTGTTTCATCCATATTTATTATCTGTGACCAAAGAGGTTATTTTGTCAATAATATCTGTCACATATTTTAGAAAAGATGCCTTTTTATCCAGTCCATTGGTAATTGATGCCCGACTGTTCTAGTATGCACAGAAATATTTTTTCTTTTCAAAAATCTGCTACATCAGCAAAGCCCTCCTTTGACATAATTTGTGTTAATTTGTTTTGCTACAAATTTTGCTTGTAAGCGAATTTTTACAGTCGAAATTGCCATTCCCTTTCCTTGTTGCTCCTTTATCCAGTTTGCACGGTTGTCCTCTAGATTCGGCAACCTTACAGTACCACTTTTTTTGGCTCGTTTCTGTTGTGGCATATTTTTAAGTTCTTCTTTTTCAGTTCTCCAACGTCGAATACATCTCTCGTCCACTTCAAACTCTCGAGCTGCTGCTCTATTTCCAATTTGTTCAGCACAGGGAAATTACATTAAGCTTAAAACCAGCAGTATAGCTTCTGTGCCATTTTCAAAAATTTTCCGCTCCCTTCTTACTTAAAAACTATTGATGGGATCTGTATCTGGCAGAATGCCAAGAAAAATTGATTCATGCTGAAGGGGAAATTTGTCAGAGTTCGTTATTGTGAGGCAGGTGGAGTCATGTTTGCCTTTGAAAAAATTGCAGAAAAAGCAGCGGTGTTGAGAGGATGGGTCCTGGAAGATTCATCAAATAGCAGAGGAGAGAGACTATTCAAAATGATGAAAATGCTGATTGTTCTCAGATACCGTTTAAGGTGAATAAAGCATGTAGATCCGTTCAAGGGAAAGAATGTAAATAAAATAGCGTTCGCAAAGAGCAACTGAGTGGTTTTTTGTGTCTGAACAGCACCAGTCTATGTACAATGACAAGGCCATCCAAACTTTGTACAATGACAAAGTTATTTAAACTATGTACAATGACCATCATAGGAAATATTTTATTTTTAGTGCACCTAAACGCTACACCGCGCTGTTTCTTCCAGAAATTATGGTGTTATTTATTGATTATGTATGTGTTAGTTATTTAAATAGTAAAAATTATAAAATAATATACATGAAGTTTTACATATTATTAAGCAAAACTCACAAAGGAACATTAATAGCATATGCAATCTATACTAGGAAACAAGTACTAAACAATTTTAATACTTCTGCAATGGTATGTTGCTGAACTGAATACTTTCTGGAGATGAGTGTGCCATATATGCATGAATCCCAAACATCGCTAGCAGCCAGGTGATGCACTGGCATATCACTGCTTTAACTAATCTTCCAGATGGCTGTATCAAATGCGCACTTTCAAACATACACACTTTTTCAGAATTTTTTAAAATCACTAGATGGTGCTTATTACAATTAGCTTATTTGAACATATGTATTTTTGGCCGGGTGACTGAAGCGCTTTTTGATTCTGGTGATCCATTTACATGTACGAGCGATTTGAAAATATTAAGTAAAAAAAACCCAGCTGAAGCACAGTTGTGGCTTCATATAGTTATGAAATGTCCACGCTCGGTGAGATAGCTTCCCCACAAAGCAGTTTTAGGGTTGCAATAAAATGGCAAGATAAGGCAGGGTTGCCCCATTTGGCGACATGCTATGGATGGATGGAGAACCTTCTAGAATGAATTCTTACCGGTTTAGCCCAGAATATTCTCGAACACCAGCCAAAAGCTATATAAAACCTGCTGATACATGGAGTGCGAGTTAGTATCGAGTTGGTGTGTCGTCTAGGAAGTCAATCCCCGCGGAGTCGATTGAGTTGACAGCTGGGCAGCGTGTGCCGAGTGCACCGAAAGAGTCTCATAGTGCATCGCCGAGAGAGCGTGTTCAGCTCCGGGAACAACTGAAACGACGACAGGAGCTGTGCTCTGTGTGTCGTCGAGTGCATTGCGAGTTGTAGTGTGGAGAGTCTCGAGAGTACGGGGAGTTCCGAGAACGATCGAGCAGAGTCGGGGTCTGTATTCTGGTGCTTGCAGGGGAGCTGTCACCACCGCGACAGCTTGTTAACCTGAAAGCTGTGCTGATTGTGTCAGCATGTTTATAGTAGATTTTCAATGGCTGTAAAAAAAATGACTTTGGAACTGTCCTGATTAATATTGACTAAATAAAGTGTGTTTGGATATTTCATCAAGTAGTGTTGTCATTATTAACTCCAAATCCACACGAACCCCGTACGAAGAAAATAACGTAACAACTGGCATCAGAAGAAAAACGAGACAATATAATATAAACATTGGACAGTTTCTAAGGCTTTAAATTTGTTTTTTCCCCCCCTCGCTATGGGAAGATAGAAAAAGAAGCTGTGGTTTTAGGAACTCCCTTTTGTATTCAGTTTGCACCCACCCTCGGATAGCAGATTAAGTTTTATGCACTGGTTAAAAGAATTAAAGTAATAATGTGATGTCTAAGAGAGAGAAGTTTTTAACAGAAAAAGAGTATATTCAAATTGCAAATGAGCCCAATAGTGACTATTTTGACTAGATCTAAATGATAATAGCGATTTATATATCGAAATTTTGTCAGAACTAAATAGAAAGCTTGTTTTGCTTCCACCTCACAATCAAGCGCAATAGTGGATACTCCTTCATCAACTCGATCCGTTAATTGAAGCTTTATGAATTTACAGGAATTGCAGGCGTAAAGTTATGTGAATGAAACTGATTTTTTTACCAATTTTTTCGATGATGATCTAATGAACATAATAGTTGAAGAAAGTAATAATTTCTATGAACAAATCATGAAGAAAAATCCATCTTATTCCAAAATCAACATACTCTTGTAGATGTACCTAATATGAGGAGATTCCTAGGATTAATTATTCTGATCAGAATAATTAAAAACCCGACCTGAATATGTATTTTACAATTAATGAAATGCTAGTGACTAGACTATCTCCTTTCTGAATCATTTATGCTGTAATATTTAATAATATATTTTGTACAATATTTCATCGAGTCGAATATTTTATTTTTAATTTAGATTTTAATAAAAAAATTTCAGAATATCTTTATATTCTGTATATATGATATTAGTATTATATAATATTATAGGAAAAATCAAAGCAATTGACAAAGAAAAATATTTGTTATGAATTTTTTTAATTAATGCTTAGCGATATGAAATACCCCATCATGCAAGATTGTACTACTGCAACATCACACAGTTTTCACGGTGAGTTGTGTTAAGTGTCATGTAAGAGGATTAAGCACAGATGCATATATGATACACCCATCTTGAAGGTGTTAGCACACAAATACTACTACACATTTCGCAGCTTAAATTAACAGGTTTAATAAATTAAACAAAACAAAAAAAAAAAAAAAAAAAAAAAAAGAGGTGTGATCAAAAGAATTATGACTGCTTTTATATTTAAATGCAAACAATCTTAGTGATTCAGTGGATAGTTTTAACTTTAAATTAAATGGTTATGTTAATGTCTAAGATCTCAGTTAATTATCCAAGATGCAAAAAATTGATATTTTCAAATGAAAAAATACTTTTGTTATACGAAAACAAGTCCTATACATTACTTACAGCTGCTTTAAATAAATAAAAAAATCTGCCAATTTATGCCTAAGCTATGTTTCAGTTTAAAACAAAAATACTTACTTACCGTTGGAAATTACGTTTCCCATATCCACCACTTCGATACATATCTGGTCCTCTACCATAGTTCTGACCAAACCCTATAAATAAAAATTGTAACAAAAATAATTCACGACTACCTCCTAGGAAATAGCTAAAATTAAATTAAAAATGAAACACTTTTAATTGCAAAAAATCTACAAAGTTAATAATTCTAATTTGAATTAACAATAACTCACTATGACTCCATTGTAATTCACCCATTTTCTCTTTCCAAGTTAAAAATAGTGTTGTGTGCACACGGGTTTGTGATAGACAGAATGCATGACAGCTTGATAAAATTTATTTTACAAAAAGAAACATTTCACAGTTCTAGAACATCTCACAAAAATAGTTGTACAAGTCTTCACAGTATTGCAGAGTACAGTCAGTAGTTACACTTCAAACTTCTAAGAATGTAAACAGAATGCAGAGCAAAGTGCATCTATAGAGAAAGCTCTCATTAGATATCTTAATACTCCTAACTTATACTGAACTGCAGACTGATACTCTGTCTGGTCTTCTATAATTTTCACCTGGACGCTGAGATATATCTCATACTTTTTAGTTCTCGAAATTACTCGAAGGCATATGAGGGCCAAATACAGTTGTAGCTACATATACAATACCACCCATTAGTTACATAGGGACTGGACCAAAATGTTGCCAAGTATGGCGACAAAAATTTGTAATCAAACTATAGTTAGCTTGGCGATATCTCGCCTCGCCAAATTAGCGAGATAACCATTTACTCAATGTTAAATAGACTTGCTTCTGTATTCTTATTTTTCCAACAAAGCATTGTTTCTCTCAAGCTTTTCATGTTACATTCATTACACATAAAAATACAACAATTTCACTAAAATTATCTATCATCATTCTACAAATGATGCCCCAAATAATGATACGTGTTAAATGACCATGGCAGTATCTAATTGAAAAATGTCTGCAGCAGACTCAAAATTCAATAGCACCTTTCCTCACTGAACAGCATAAATAAACTTAATAAAATTCTTCACCTGGGAAATTAGGACCAGGACCTCTTGGTCCAAAGCCATATGGTGGCATAGGAGGAGGAAAAGGACCACCATGGAATGGATGTCCCATGTTATGCATATCTGTTCTGGAACCAGATGATCTATTTGATGGATGTTCTGGAAGTTGCGCTCGCTTAGGATCCATCAGATAATTATTGAAATATTCAACCTACAGAAAAATGACACATTATTTGCTTTCAAAACAAATTACTAAAAACAGGCACAAACATTTAAAAAGCTATAATAATTTTACATTAAAATAAGAATATAGTCAACTTCAATTTGTTGAAAGAATGCAATGGACAATACCCACAGTCAATCTAAAGGACTTAAAAAAAAAAAAAAAAAAAAAAAAAAAAAAAAAACTATAAACAATGTAAGTTCCAGCCTTTTGTTCTGAAGAATAACTTTATTTGGTTAGCATACCTGCCAACCACTAAAGATAAAAATTCAGAAGAACACGAAGAATTAATATCATGCTTTGATATTGAAAAAATAACAATTTATATAAATAGAAAAAAGAAAATTGTACTTACATTAGTAAATCTCAATTAAGTAGTAACTAAAAAATTTATTAGGAAATATAAAACAAGAACTTAATGTTATACAAAAAAATTATTGCAATGAATTTAGAGTGCATTTTTTGGGTTTAGCCAAAAATTCTTTTGAAAATTTCTAGTCATAACAATTAGTTTCCTCATAACATTTAGCAATTAAAATGTTTTCTAGAGTTTTTGGTGAAATTGAAGAACGAAACATAGTTTTGTTTTTCTTCACAACACTGAAGACTCTCTCGCACTCAGCATTACTGTGTGGAATTACGAGAATAGCACATAAAACTCTTGCTAGTCTATCATATTTTGGTATTCCATCAACTCTTTTTATTCTTTTTAAGGTACCAACGAAGATATCAAGTCTATCTTCTCTAGAACTGGCAAAGTCTTCAAACTGTGCAGCAGAAAATTGGTTCTGTAGTTCATCTAAAGCATCATTATGGCATTCATTTTCTTTAAAATAAAAAGAATGTGATAATCCACGCTTGCTGAGTAATTCCCTTGCTGCTGAAGCGAAAGCGAAAAAAATAATCTGGCGCCCACAAAGAAAAGAGTGGGAGAAACAAGTTCAGCGCATTTGATTGGCTGGTTAAGCAGCAAGTTGAGAGAACCGCAGGTTACTGGATTCAAAGTAGTCGGTAAAACAAGATGCAATTGGCAAAAATCGCTGAATTGGTGAAAAATTCTAAAATTTCGACAAAAATCACTAAAAACACTTGAAAAAGGGAAAAAATTGTAAAAAATGGATTACGATCGTATAATCATAGAAAGAAACTTATTTTCGTAAAAATTACGAAAAATTCGTAAAAGTTGACAGGTATGGGTTAGGTAAATTAAAAGAGTATTCAGAATTGATAAATAACAGACAAATAATCATCATTAGGAATTTAAGGCATTAAAAAAAATTATTATATCTGTGACAGTTAATTTTGTATTATTCTGCAATAAACAAACTTGACATTCTGTTCTTTAAACACCAGTTAACCTGGAGCTGATCATAATAATAAACAGAAAAAAGCACAACTTTAAAAATAAACCTTATTTCGTAAAATTACATCGTGCTGAGATATGCATATTGGCTAAACACTTCAAACTTCAAGGCTCATTTGTACATACATTAAATAAAATTTCTTAAATTACAATTAGAAACAACTAAATTTACTAAATTAATTAAATCATACCTCTTTTTTAACTTCTTCTATTTTTTCAGCATGCTTATTATATATATGCTTCCTAACAAATTCTGGACCTTTGAACTTTTTCCCTGATAAAGGACAGAGCCATTTATCTTTTGCAAGTTCCTGAGTATTTGCCTGAATAAACTTTTCAACTTCTGCATCTGGATCTTTTTTACCCAATTTTATACATTCTTCTTCATCTAACTTAGTTGGAGTTTGCAAGAAAGTCTGACTCTTCATCTCAAAATGAGAAATATAATCATTTATTTCTTGCTGTGTAACTTTGCTAGATGGAGGAGATCCTCTCGCATGCATAATACCACATCTATTGGGCATTTCATCTTCACTGGGATATTCGCTGCTGTTGTAATAATCAACAGAGTGAACAACGCGTAAATACAGTAAAAGGCGATCCAAAACCTAAAAAAGCATGGACAGAATATAATTAACTTTTGCTCATTCTTTGCATGTTTGTTAATTATTAGAAACACCAAATATAGCAACATAAAAGCTGATGGTAACAGATTTTATACATAATATTCATATATGCATTATTTACTTATACAGAGTGCAGCCTTAATTTTTTTACTGCTTTCTGGATGGGTATCCATCATCGTCACCACCGGAATAACAAGGCCTCCCTTCTGCTGCGAGTGACGTCACTAGAACAGAGACTAGTAGGCATAACAAACCATCACGGCTCTTTCGGTGGTAAAGTGCATGCATGCTTGTAGTTTTAGTTGGAGATTTGTATATTGCATTAAAGATTTAATAATATTTCATTTGTTAATATCTGTTGAAGAATGCTTTATACTTGTTTTATTCCTAACTGCAGAGGAAACTATCTAAACACTGAAAAAATACAGATGTTTTATTGCGCAGAAAATGGCTTCGTGCAATTCACTGGCAGAATTTCATCCCATCAAAACATTCTAAGTTATGTACAATCAATTTTTAAACTTATGATTTTTCTTAATTGAAAAAAATAATTCATGCATTTAAAAAATATTTATTTCTCTATCAAAAATTAGGCCTTATTGTTGCTTGTTTGATACTGATTAAACTTCTATATCTGATATTGTTATTATAAACTTAATTTGAATTCTATAAAATCTGAAATTAATTACGCTGATATATAAATCAACAAATAATACAGCAGTTAGTCATTAATTCTAAAGCATTTAAATCTGTAATGAAATCTAGCAAGATATTAATTAAAGTATAACATTTAAGTTAATATTAGGTAAGCAAAAACTTCGTGAAACTTTCTAGAATATCAGCTGAATTTCAGTATATGTACTGGGATGCCAGTACATAATGTGTAGAATATGTGTTGAAGTACTAGGTAGCTGAATTCTAGCTAGCATTTTCCAAAATTTATTTCTGAATAGAAATCTAGTATATTGCATGTAAATTTGTATTTTTATTTTACATTAAAATTATTTGTAAGATTTTTCTTATGAATCTATAGTGATACTCAATACTGAATTTTTCATCCTTTTTTTTAGGTTGATGAAACACATTTTATCGAATTAAGATATTGAAAGAGCAGTCGAACATCTTGGTGAGAAAAAAAGAACGTCAATAAAAATTAATTTGATTCGTCCAAGACTTCGAAAGGATGCCATACCTTCACAACTGCCTGGCTGTCCAAAATATTATTTATTATATCCTTCAACTTCAAGAGAAAGTGCAGATGATAGAAGAGTTCGAATTGATAGAAACAATATACAGATTGCACTTGCTGCAAGTCTTTCTTGTTTTCTGAATTTTTATCGTGCATAAAATCTGAGAATGTTCCCGATGATTGGACAGTTATTTAAAAAAAAAAAAAAAGTAAAGTTGTTTTTCTTATTATTGATACCGAGTCTGTACCAATTATTGAAGCTGCAGTAGTAGTGGTAGAAAATTTAATGTGTCATGTTTTTATTGGTAAATCAGAATTCAAAATAATAGATAAGGAAGTGTTTCCTAAAGTAATAAATAGTAAAAACAGTTTTTTTTTTTTTAAGTTTTAGACTTTACCACAAAATGAAAATTTATTTCCCAATGTTATAAAAACAGTTATTACTCTATTGAAAACTGTTAAGAATGATGACAGTGATAAACAGCAAACTATGAAATTCATTACAGAACAATTGTGCAATCTTATTTGTAAAGAGAAACGCATGCGTTATTCATCACATATGTATTTTTTCTTCGTTATTTTATATTCCATTTCTCCGTATGCGTATAAATTTTTTTTAGTTCATGAAATATCATTATGCCACATTCAAGAAAAATTTACAGAATATTTTCTGGATTTAATACTAATCCCATTAAACAGCAGTCTGATGAAAACTTCTTATCTTTCATAAAAAAAGCAGATGGCTTGAATTCAGAAAACCTTATAATTACATAATTGTTGGATGAAATACACATAAAACCATACATAGACAAATGTTGTTGGTATGGCATATAACAGTGATAGTGTTGCAAATACATCAGATGTATTTATGATACAAAGTTTATTATCATCATTTAAAGAAGCTGTACATATACTGCCCATTAAAAAAATCCAAGCTGAAGACCTTTTTTCAGTTTTAAATTGGTTTACATAGTTTAGGGTTTAAAGTTGTGTGATAATAATGCTACAAACAGAAAAGCAATGTCTTTTTTTTTTTTCTTCTTCCCCACCCTAGTTAAGTATTGTTTTATCAAAACCCATGTAATAAAAGTGATCCTTTATTTTTTTTATCATCGATTCTGTTCATATCTTTAAAAGTATAGGAAATAACTGGTTGAATAAAAAAAATTGTGAACAAGCATTTTATTATCCTGATTTTGATGATTTTGAGAAATTATCATTATCCACTGCCTCATTTAAACCACTAAAACAGCTTTATGAAATTGAGTCAGATTCTTTAGTGAAACATGCATATGGATTATCCTTAAAATCACTCAACCTATAAAACTTGGAGAGACAAAATGTCAAACTTGTTAACAGTATTATTAACAATTATGTTATTGTTGCTCTTTCTACCATTGGCAAGGAGAATAATATTTTAAATTATGCTAGCACTGCCAGTTTCATGATCCATTGCCAATATTGCTTAATAATTCTTTGAAAGAGAAGTTTTTAAAAAGATTTCTGTTATGGTTAGATGTTTGGAAAGCTAACACTTCAACTACTGGGACCTTTACAAAAGAAACACATTTAGCTGTTTCTCACACCACATATGGGTTATTAGAATTATCTAAGTATTGTTTACATGAGTTAGGGTTTAAATATTTCCTTGCGGGAAAGATACAGACAAATACATTAGGAGAGCGATTTAGCAAATATCAGATGCTTGCTGGATCTGAATACCTAATACCAGTACGACAAATTTTTGAAAATGAATCAAAATTTTCAACCTTTATCTTTGAGATCAGTAGCACGTGGGGACATTTTAATCGACTGTATTGGAGAAGACTACGTTACAGATGATATCCCAAATGTTTTAGACTTATACTCAGAGTTCAATATTAATATTTCTGAAAATGATTTTCAAAATGTGTTACCAGTCTAAACTTATATATCTGGTTATTGCTCATATACGGCTGTAAAAACACTCAAATGTAATTCCTGCTTTAATTGTCCTTGACAAAAATCTAAAATTAAGTGCAAAAAATATAATTTTATACAAAATTTAGACAGAAATTAATTACTCTTCCCCTCAACAGATGTTGTAACTGCAGTAACTTATAATTATATCGTAATACAAAAATTATTAAGTGAAGAAAATGGAAAAACTTTTTGAAGCAAAATAATCAAAGAAATATTGTTACAGAATTATCATCTACTCTTATTGATAAATATGAATTTTTCTTAGTTGATGAAACTTGGGATAATGGCCATTCTAATAACACTTTATTAAATATAATTTTGAAAACATCTACCAATTGTTTTTAAAAAAAATTATTGTACTAAAAAAATTATCACATGCCTGTAACAAAAAAGCGAAAACTGCAAACTGCGAGTCTTAATTAAATTTTCCATAAAAACCCACCTTCTCAATTAATGGCTTTTTTTTTAAATGAGCATATACTACTGCGAATATAAATTACGAATTCATTTGCTGTGTATTAATGTATATGAATATTGTTTGGTGAGAAATAAGAGTTATTACCGAATCCCTAAATTTCATCCCATATGAACATTCCTGTTCAATTTGCTGAAAATTTATATCATTTTGTATAATTATAGATTAAAAAAATTATATGCAATGTTTTAAAAATATTTAAGCATCAAGCTATGTAGATTATACATTTTATAAATGAAAGACATTTTTACGGCATTATTTTTCGCATATAAAGTATGAGACATAATGATTGTGGAAAACTGTATGATCTATATTACATATATGTAAGATATAACAAAATATGATACCTGTTTAAAAAAAAGTCTGAAATGTTTCAGATTTTAAATTACGTCCAAAGGGGCGTTTTTAACATTTTGTGTGTTACCTTTCTTTATTAAATATCATGTTCCTCGCACTTAAACCATAAGATCCAGTGCAACAGCAATATCGCAAAATAGTTTTAAAACGAGCATATCTTTAGAATTTCCGATACAGAGACTCACGCGCTGGAGATAAAAATGTTTTTTTCTGCACAACGTTGCCATTGCTCGCTTTGTAATCCTTGAGTTTGTTAATCAAACTTCGTCAAAGTTTTAAAAAATAGGAAATCGATCATAAAACGAATTTCAAATTTCAAATTGGGTCTTCCACATGCTCATATTCGTTGGAGGATTACGTTATTCAAAATTCGATGACTCTATGTACCGTTATTTTATGACAATGTGAAAAATATACATACATTTACGCAGATTTTCATTATTTAATTTCTTCAAATATAATGCAGGACTCTAACCTTTTGTGGCAACACTTTGAAAAGTGAACCGACAATTATGAGTCCGACGCAAAATGCCAAAACGAAACTAATAGTCCTTCGGGATTCAAATCCCTTTGGACTAAAAATCGGTGACCTCAAAATTAACATTTTAAATTTGTAATCTGCCCCTAAATTCATCTCACAGGTTCCAGATTTTTCTATCTTATGTAACGTTTTAAAGCAGATGCCTCTTGTCCAATCAAATTAATTGTAAGCCAAAACTCTGAACTGAAACTTTCCCACTCCCACCCTTCTTCCTCTGAAGTTCTATCTATCTCTGATACTCTGGCCCTTTTTCACATAAGCTCTCCTGCCGGCAAGATGCTTTTCATGTATGCTGCTGCCGTCAACTTGCTTAAAACGACGTCGTACTTCAAAATGCAACTTCTTGCTAAATTGTGTCATCATGCTTTCCACTCTGCCACCTTTAAGCCACTACAGTCTTTTCGATCATCTACGCAGTATCGTAAGGAGTAAAAGTTCCAGTGTCTTCATCTACACAT